GGGTCTAGACCCGAAACGTCAGCTTTCCCGCTCCTCTGATGCTGCTTGGCCTGCTGTGTTCATCCAGCTCTACACCTTGTTATCATAGTTTCTATTTAACTGTTTTTCGACAGAAACCTCACAGTTATTGATAAATGTTTCCATAATCTATCACAATCATAGTGGGGGCCTGTAAATTCACAGATAATTGTCAGCTTCAGATGGTTATAAAAGGGAGGTGACAGTCGAGGTGTGTTATTACTAGACTACTACTCCAGAGACCCAGTTAATGTTCTGGGGATCCAGGTTCGAATTCCACCATAATAGATGATGGAATTTGAATTCACTAAAAATCTGGAATTAAGAGCCTAATGATGACCATGAGTCCACTGCCAAGTGTCAGGAAAAACCGTATGGAAAACTAATGTGTTAGGGAAGGAAACTGCCATCCTGACCTGTCCATCCTCCATGTGACTCTAGGCCCACAGCAATGTGATTGATTCTTGACTGACCTCTGGGCAATTAGGAATGAGCAATAAATGCTGTTCTAGCCAGCGATACCCTCATGCTGTGAATGAATAAAAAAGTGATTTGTTGTCTTTGACATAGGGCTATGAAGACAAATTATTGTTTTAATAAGGGATAAGAGTTGGAAGAAAATATTTATCTTTATAAGGGATTAAGTTATTACAAACAAATGAATTAGGAGCAGCAGCAGGCCACTGAGCCCCTTGAGCATTTAATAAGATAATTGTTGATTTATTTATTCCACATTCTCACTTACCCCAATAACATTTTCATGCCTTGCTTATTAACAATCTATCTGCCTCTGTCTGTGCCTCTGCCTCAAAAAGGACACTGCTTTTACCATCTTTTGAGTAAGAAAGCTTGAAAAACTCTCAACCTTTGTGAGAAAAATATTCTCCTTCTCTCTCTTAAATGGGTGACTTCTTACTTTTAGACAGTGAACCCTAGTTCTAGATTATTGGAGAAGAGAAAATATCCTTTGTACATGCACCCTGCCTCTTACTCTTCAAAAGTCCAACAGGTAAAAATCCAAGCCTGTACAACATTTCCTCATTATGACAACTCACCCATTCCAGTTACTAGATCTGGTAAATTTTCTCTGAACTGCTTTCAATGCATTTATTTGTCAAGTGAGGAGAGCAATTCAGTACACTGGACTATAGATATGATCTCACCAATGCAGTATATAATTGAAGCATAACCTCCCTACCTTTGTATTCAATTTCCCTTGCAATAAACAATAACATTCACAAGCTTTCCTACCTAAATCTGTGATTGCAAACTAATCTTTGCAAATTCATGCGCTAGTATACCCAGATCCTTCTGCATCTTGAAACTTCACATTCTCTCACCATTTAGATAATATGGTTTTTCAAAATTCTTCTTGCCAAAAGGGACAATTAAACATTTTCTCACATTATGGTCCATTAATACTCAATTCTTTGCCCATGCTTTAAAACTATTCACACATTCCTTTGAAGCTTCCTTACGTCTTCTTCACAACTTAGTTTCCTATCTATCTTTACCGCATGAGCAAATTTAGAAACCGTACCGTCAATCCCTTCAAACAAGTCATTCATACAATATTAAATAAATTGATGCCCCAGCACTGATCAACGTAGTACACCACTGCTATCCAATTATGCCTATCCTCTGTTTCACTCGTACTTGAATTTAAATGTTATCAGTGTTTTTTTTAAATACAGTTAAGTCTGCAATATAAACTTAGAGCTTCATTTTGTTGCATCCCAGGGATCTATCTTGAAGGATAATGGGCAGTGGACGAGCAAAAGGTGTTGGGTGAGAGGTCACGTGTCGATATATGTCGGCTCTTGTGTGCATGGTCCACCCTTAGGGCAATAAAATGTGAAGATAGATGGCTGGAGTTAAAATAACTTAGACCTTGCATTTTGGTGTGCATGATGAATAGCTGATAAAAACCAAAAGAACTGCGGATGCTGTAAATCAGGAACAAAAACAAAGTTGCTGGAAAAGCTCAGCAGGTCTGGCAGCATCTGTGGAGGAGAAAACAGAGTTAACGTTTCGGGTCCGGTGACCCTTCCTCAGAACT